GACCTGCAAGAGAAAGTAAGACAGGTGTATGCACAGGACCCTATTTATAGTGACCTTCTCAAGAAAGTTAAGGAGGCCCCAGAGACTGAACCACATTACCGCACTACAGAGGGATTACTGTTTGAGAAGACCGACGTAGTAGACCGTCTATGCATTCCCAATAGTGAGGAGATCCGTAGTTTGATCCTAGGGGAATGCCACGCCACAGAGGGACATTTCGGTTGGCAAAAGACTCTAGCCAACCTGATGCATGCGTATACTTCGCCAGGAATGAAAGTCAACTGCATAGAGTACGTTCGCAGTTGCAAAGTCTGTCAGAGGAATAAGACAACTACGAGTGCCCCTCTAGGTCTTCTTCGACCCTTGCCTATGCCTGATCAGCCTGGCGATTCAATATCCATTGACTTCATGGATGCTAGCGTCAAAAGTAGGCATGGAAAGAGCCAAGTCATGGTAATAGTGGATAGATTTAGCAAATATGCTGGTTTTGTGCCCTTACCCGCAGAAGCTCGTACAAAGTTAGTAATTCAGAAGTTTTTTTACTTTTGGGTTCGTGAGCACGGGATCCCATTGTCCATAGTTAGTGATAGGGATACCCGGTTTACAAGTCAGAACTGGCAGGAGTTAATGAAAGGATACGGGTCACAGTTGTTGATGTCGTCTGGCTGTCACCCAGAGACTAACGGTCAACCCGAACAGATGAATAAGATCCTACAACAAGTTCTGCGCATGTATATTAGCCCAGATCAAGTTAACTGGGATGAGATTTTGCCCAAGGTAGCCAGTGCGTACAACAACAGCGTGCACTTAGCCACTTGTCGTACTCCCAATGAGTTGCATAAGTCCTTTAGACCGCGCAGACCGTTTGAAGAACTCAACCGGGACCAGATTTATAGGCTACGACCCGGTACTAGGGAGTTTGCGATACAGCACGAGAAGGAGTTAGCTACCGTTGTTGAGAACCTCAGGAAGGCCCAGCACCGAATGATAGAGCAGGCTAACAAGCACCGTCGCCCGTCGCAGTTTCAAGTAGGCGATCTAGTCTGGGTCAAGTCCAAAGAGTTTGCTCCTGAGGAAAACATTTCGCAGAAGTTACTGTCAGCATACAAGAGACCATGGCCAGTTCTGGAGGTTAAGGGCGGAGAGGACGGGCCGTCCTATACAATAGAGATTCCAGCACACCTCCACACCTACCCTGTGTTCCATGCGTCAAAGTTATTGCCTTGTGTCACAAGTCCACAGTTTCCATCAAGAAGATCCATGATCCCTCCGGACATGGATGGAAGATATGACATTGAGGGCACTGTAGGTGAAGACATATTCAGAACAGGAGGTAGAGGTCGTCCAGAGAAACAGTATAAGGTCCGATTTGCTTATTTGGAACCCGAGGACGACCGCTGGTTTACTAGAACTGAACTTCTAGAAACAGCTCCCGACGTAGTTAGAGCCTACGAGAGAGAAAAGAAAGGTAAAAATCCGGTCTTGGACTGAATTATTCTTGGAGGACCTCGAATTTAGGCCGGCGGGAGTGAAACGGTATTCACCTGTTAGCAGTAGCGAATGCAGATCCCAGGGCTCGATCCCTAGTTCTTACCTTACCTGTGTACAATACCTGTGTCGACCCCGAGAGTTGAACCCGTAACCTGTGTATTCGCAGCAGATGGTAGGCTGTCGTAGGTCCGTAGGTCATAGGGGTTCGATCTGTATACCTGTCGGATAGAGGTCTTGATGAGTTCTAGAAGTCGTAGTTGTAGCTCTTCTGAAGGGTCAAGGTCGTAGCTGCTACAGTGTGCGAAAGGCCAAACCCACAGACTTCCGGAAGGTCCGCCAGTGGCCTTTCGAAGTTGTCTCACGTTTGGCTAGAGCCAAGTGGGCAAGTGGTGAGCCCGTCGGCAGTGTGACTGCATCGAGTTGGCAGTGCAAGCCCATGCAGTCAGCGGTACCGGTCCCAGTCAGTCACAGTCCAGTCAAGCAAGTACTGTGTGGGACTGTGTACACCCAGGGCATGGGAAAGGGGCAGACCAACAAGCTACAGAAGTATAAATCAAGAGGCAGCGCCCAGCCATTCATTCATTCCTGCGTAAACCATGCGGAAGCGCTGCTTGAGTGACTTGTGTGAGGTGGTCTGTAGAGTGCCCGAAGACGAAGTGGGCTGAAGGAGATAGTTAGCCATAGCCATAGAGGGACAGCAGCCATAGCCGCCATAGCTGATAGGCGAGTGTGTAAGTACGGGAGTGTGTGTATGCGTGTGGGATATCCAGGGAGATCCGGAGTTGAGTGAGTGCGAACAGTGGTGTTGGATAGAGAGACGAGACTTGGAGTGTACAGGCGCTGATGCGCCATAGCCTGTTGAAGCGGGCTTGTATCTGAACTGTGTTTCGACTTCCATATCTCAGAGCTTTGAGTGGGCGCTGTGCGCCAGTGTGACTCACCATCTGTTTGCATGAGCGCGAAGTGGAAAAGAAAGCGAGTCTGATTGCAATTGGTTCAGGTTTAGTCATTCATTGCTATTGTTATTATTATTTATCAAATGAAGAGGCTGGGGGAGATAAGGAGGATAGAGTGAGTTGGCGAGTTCGAGGGGGATTTGTCATTGGTCCTTGATGGTGTCCATCTTCTTCTTCTTCCTTCTTCCTTCTTCCTTCTTCCTTCTTTCTTCGTTTTCCTAGGCCTATTTCTCTTTCCAAGTTCTTTCATTTCATTTGCAATTGAACGACATTGCCTTTCCTTGTTTTATCGCACTTTGGAATAGCCAGGATAATAACACATAACACTATGTAGCAAGCAAGCAGACGTTCCAGGGAAGGAGTCCATTCCGAGGCAGTAGATGAGAAGCTTCCTCTATGATGCTTATGGAATTAAGTTTTGTGAGGTGGGTAATCGGTAACAAAAAACATTTTATTGCCTCTACAGTCTCTACTTCAAAACTGGACATGAAATATTATTTTCACCCGGCTTGTTCAAATAGACATTTTTAACTTGAGGTAAGACATACTGTTGCAACTTTTCTGAATGCCGAGTTTGGCTTTCTAGGTGCAGTGGTGTTAAGGTTGGTAAATTAGTTGTCTAACCTACCGCTTTACGAAACTGTACATTTGACACCAGGGATAGGATACAAAAAGGAGGCTTGACTTACTAGAGTAATGGCGAAAGAAGGTTTCGGAGCCAGATCAGCAGAGCTTTGAGAAAATAGAAAATATGGCTCAGCTATGGGGGTGAGCACAACTTAGGGAAAATTTGGGGTATGTTACCATCCGGTGGATGCCAGACATATGTCCATGGATACAATACCATCAATTCCTATGTAAGCTCGGGGAAACCTGCGCAAAATGCCCCCGTGCCCTAAGTGAAGGCCGCGCTGTGGTCAACTAAGGACAGCCCTAAGTGAAGGTCGCACCAGCAAATACTGGGTGGGGTATGCACCCCAGCCCATGTAACTAACCGGTACGCCCAGCCTCTGAGTTACTTACATGGGCTGGGACCCAGACGTAGGCAGGTAGGCAGTAGGGACTGCCTACGTGGACCTGGACCCCTGGTCTCCAAACAAGACAAAAGGGGGGACGCCAAGAACGGGAACACATTTGGGCATTGGCAGCATGCAGCAGCACCGGAGCAGCACATTGCAGCCAGATAGCACCTGGGCAAGAGGAGGCTACTGCAGTGGCTGCTGAGCTACCAACTGCCATAGCTGGGCAGCACTCATCAGGGAGCTTGGTGGCGAGGTGTAGAGGAGGTCAGGGAAGAGGATGAAAGCTGTGGGAACTGGAAATGCTTACATGTGTGTGTGGACTCTTCAGCAGCATCCGACGTGTGACATGTGGACAGAGAGTGTGAGGGAGGTAGGCTAGTGTGTGCAGTCAGAACGGAGAGTACCGTAAGAAGGACACATCACAGTGGGGCTACTACATCATGGTTGTATTGATTATCGGATGTGAGAAGTTGGGCTTTCTTTGTCAAGAGACTTCAGTGTCCAGTTTGTCCCTAATTGGTGTAACCTCAGCTTTTGTAACTTCGCTTTCAACTCAGCTCACTCATGCTTGGTCTTCCATGAGCTTTTGCATTTTCGACATTTGGTGTTCTCACTGGATAGCAACAACAACAACAACCACAACAACAACCACAACAACAACCGCAACAACAACCACAACAACAACCACAACCACAACCACAACCACAACCACAACCACAACAGCAAGCACAATAACAACCACAACCACAACAACAACCACAACCACAACAACAACCACAACCACAACAACAACCACAACCACAACCACAACCACAACCACAACCACAACCACGACAACAACAACAACAACAACAACAACAACAACAACAACAACAACAACAACAACAACAACAACAACAACGACGACGACGACGATGACGACGACGACGATGACGACAACAAGGACAACGACAAGGACAACGACGACAACCACAACAACCACAACAACCAGAACAACCACAACAACAACAACAACAACAACAACCACAACAACCACAACAACCGCGACAACCGCAACCACCACAACCACCACAACCACCACCACCACCACCACCACAACAACAACAACAACAACAACAACGACGACGACGATGACAATAACGACAACAACGACGACGCCAACAACAACAACGACGACAACAATAACAACGACAACAACGACCACGACCACGACAACAACAACAACGACAACCACGACAACAACAACAACGACAACAAAACCACAGCAGCAACCACAACAACATGACAACCACAACAACAATGACAACAGCGACAATGATGACAACAACAACAGCGATAACAGCGGCAACATCGACAACAACGACGGCAACAACAATAAAAACGACAGCGACGACAATTACAATAATGAGGACAACGACAACAATGAGGGCAACGATGACAATGACAACAATGATGACAACCGCAGCAATGACCATAATGACAACCACGACGACAATGACAACCATGATGCGAACGATGACCACAACGAGACCGACAACCACGATGAGACCGACAACCACGACGAGACCGACAACAACGATGAGAACAAACGACAACAATGACGAGGAACGACAACAATGCCGAGAACAACAATAATGACAAGAACAACCACAAGGACGAGAACGACCACAAGGATGCGAACCACCACAACGACAACAATAACGCCCACCACAGCGACAACCACAACAACGACCACCACAACAACCGCAACCACCACCTCAATGACTGCAACCACCACCTCAATGACCGCAACCACCCCTACTATGCCTGCAACCACCACCACAATGACCGCAACCGCCACCACAATGACCGCAACCACCACCACAACCACCACCACCACTGCAACCATCACCACACCACCACTGCAACCACCACCACCACCACCACCACCACCACCACCACCACCACCACCACCGTACCACCGTACCACCGTACCACCACCACCACCACTGTACCACCACCACTGTACCACCACCACTGTACCACCACCACTGTACCACCACCACTGTACCACCACCACCACTACCACCACCGCAAAAACAACCACCACTGCAACCACAACAACAGCCAGAACAACCACAACCACAACCACAACCACAACCACAACCACAACCACAACCACCACCACAACAACAACCACCACCACCACAACAACCACCACCAACACCACAACAACAACCACAACAACGACCACAACAACCACCACCACCACCACCACAACAACAACAACAACAACAACAACAACAACAACAACAACAACAACAACAAC